TGCGCTTCTGCAGGTAGCAGACGAGAATGGGCACACAGCCGCCGGGCGCGTGCACCAGGCAGTGCGTGATGTTCTGGAAGACGATCATGACGGCCAGGTGCAGCGCCAGCGCCTCGTCATCGCACTCCGCCAGCTGCTGCTGGAGTGTCTCCCAGTGCTGGCGACTGACCTGCCTGTTAGTGGCAAAAAAAAAAACAGAAACACCCAACACGCACGCATATACACATCCAGAAAATCAATTCAAGACATGCTTCACCAGGCTGAGCTGACCGAGAGGATTTCACAGCAACAATGCGGTGGGACAGTATTACAAACACAACAACCCCATGAACTTACAGCTCTTTCTTCTTGTTCGCGCGCTTCAGTTGAAGGTTCAAGCGATCAGAAACAGTGTCAAGTTCCTCCATGAACGGACTCATACTCTGGAGACAGTTGAGTGCAGAACAAACGAACAGATGACACATCAGTACACTGGCTGCAGGACATACATTGTCATATGCATAGGTACAGGGAGGTAGGTTACTCCTACACAAAGCACTTATCATTACAAAGTCATTTGTGTTGACTAAGTCCAGTACTCCATCAAAATCTGCTACAAGTATTCGTAAACAGCAAAGGCCATCGTGCGATTACTGTGTAAGGCCGTGTACACTGTAATGCAGGTCACATGGCATAGTAGGGCTTGAAAGTGCTACGTCACAGCCAGCCTGGAGTCATGACAAGTTGACAATGCGGACTTTTGGATCCATGTAAAATGTGCATGACGTGCATCGCGCACACATGTGTACACATGTACACTGGATGTACATGTACATGTGGATCATAACCAAGTACGCAGTGGGTCGGTGTATGGTGCGCTGAGTATTTCGATACCCCACTCGCATACAGTACATGTACTATCGGCCATTGTGATTATATCGCTTATGCATACAGTAGTAATGAAAGGCTATAATTTAAAAATAACAAGCACTCCTACCTTCATGGTGAGTGTTTTACTAAGCTGCATTACTGGAGTGCGCACTGCATTCGGCAATTTGCTGAGAATGGATGCACGGCTCTGCAAGAGAAAGGCACAACAACCAAATAGAATAGCACATCAAAAGAATCAGAGTAAGGAAAAGTGAAAAATCAAGCACTTCGAAGCGATACCACCGAATTTCCCAGTCAACAACCCAGTCTACGTCCACTAACAAGTGGCTAGTATTCGACTCTCGCTTACCTCCGCGTTCAATCCATCAGCTTCAGCAACCAGCATCAAATGCTCTTCGGCCAGCAGAGAGCAGATGATGTTCAGCAGCTCAGTACAGAGTGTCTTCAGCAGGTGTGCAGACAGCTTGCGAGAGAGATCAGCATAGTCTTCGTCCTCTGCAAACCAGACAGGCATGCACATAACACACACATACACACACACACAGCAAGGATGTTCAAAGCAAAGAAACCGCAGAATTCATCCACTGGAGAAACACCTAAACCAATTTCTCAAGATACTTTGCCTTCACTGCAGCCATCCACTATATCCATACATCCTCACAACACTCTCAGTTAACAGTCTCCAGGCTACACGAATCAATCAAGAAACGAAGAAAAGTATCTGAACTCTTGTGACCTAAAATAATGACCACTATTCATCCTTCCACTCGCATGCTCTCATACTGTCACCCACTCACACATCGTCCCACGGTCGCTATCATTCAGTGTACGGCCCACACGCAACATTGAGTCAACAATAACTGTTCAGTGCGTGTGTAATCACGGAACTCTAGCATTGGCAATGGCACATGTAATTTGAGGGAGGAAAACTCTGGAAAAAAAAACAAAGCACTCACCATCAACACAAAGGATGCCGCGCTCGAAAAGAGTCACATTGATCCACAAGCTCTGCAACCGATTCATCGTGTCGGTGTTGTGCTGCCTACGACTTGCACCGGCCGCTGAAGACGACGTCAGGAATACGGAACGAGCAACGTCTTGATACGAGCGTGTGAGGGGTCTGCAAAGAAGACGATCCACAGCCAAAAAAAGAGGACGCAATGGTCAGAAAGTTATCACTGTCTTGTAAGGACTGGAATCACGGTTCCATGCATTTTTAAACAATTATATGTACTTGAAGTGCAAGGAATACACACACCCATATGCATACACACATATCCACGCCAGCACACATACACACACATACATTCAATGACATGTGCATGCATCATAAACCATTGCCTCACCGATGCAGGTGTGTCGCCAACTCCTCCGCTAACATCTCGTCCACACCTTCCACCTTTTCCACGAGTGTTGCAGCAATCTAGCATGGCAACACAATGAAGAGTGAAAGGTCCACATATCACACTGCAATACAATCTTGCAATCGAAATATTGAATAGAAAACCGCCGAAAAGCCTGAAATTCAACACACTGCAAGCAGCTAGAGAGTATTATGTATAAGCAAATGACTGATATAATACAGAGATACACAGACGTCCTCGGCAAGCAACTCTTAACCTAGTGAGTCCAACCTACCTTATCAACGGAAAGAAATTCCAGTTGCTTAAACTCTACTTCACCAGAGGGTCCTGCTTCTTCAGCTTCTGCATCTCCACCGCGTCCGCCTGCTCGTTTCTTACTGCCAGTAGCTTTCTTGTCCTTGGACTGAAACATGTCACAAATGAAACACGCACACAACACGAAAACTGGCTCACTGGTGGGAAGCCAAAGTTGCCATCTCTATCTCGGACATGTAGACTGATCCATGGAGTTTCCATTATGCTTTCTCTTTTCGACCATGTGGCACAGAAGCTCACAGGCCACATAACGGATTATTTTATTACGACATGTAATTGTTACATTGGCGCAGAAGTGAATTAGCAGAACATTGAATCTACAGGTTCGCTGGTGCCAAAAGGTATTGTTTTTCCAATTGCAAATTCTTCTCTAGCATGCATGGACCACAGAAATGGCATTCATACTGGCAAGTATGGGCGTAATAATGTAGTTCGGAGTACTTTTTAAAAAGCAACCCCAATGTACGGAAATGACATTTTTCCTCACTTCGAGGCCTCAGAAGTACAACAAAAATGCATCCGTAACTCCGTCTGAATATCATCACTGGGGTCTACAACAGAACAACTTAGAATAGAGAAACAGCACTTCCTTTGTCACGGTCTTTGAGACAACAAAAACGCCATTCCAGATACAGCAGTGGCAGGACTGTATGCATAGTGGGATGGCACTAACCTTTTGCCCCTTCACTTCACGGCTGTTGGCACCTCCAGAGCCACCGGCGGCGCTTTTCGGCGCAGTCTGTGCCCTGCGCTTCCTCTCCTCTTTGCGATCCATGCGAGTGCTGCCCTCGCCAAGAGATGCCGCCATGCTCCGTGATGCTGCGTCCGAAGTCACCTTGGCAGCAGCATACTGTGAGCAGTGCAACAAAATACACAAAAAACTAAATCGATCACATCACGTGGATAGCGGCTACACACAATCAACTGATGTCAGGGACTCAAACCTTGGGCAAAATAAGATTTCAATATTGACCAATTTCGCCAGTCCACAAGACTCCCATTCGCATTCCATGGTACGAGAAATCCCGGCGTACAGCAAAACCAGAGAAAGGCTACATTGGTCTTCCAACACAGACACTATACATGAGTCACATGACATGTACATGCACATGTCCCTGTACTTTACAAGTTTACACAGTGGCCTACCTGCTCAGCCTTGACCTGCATGGCGCTCTTGAACAGCTGCCCGCAGTTCTGCACAAACTGGTCGCTGGCCAGGTACTGCTCGCAGAAGATGTGCGCCACGTCGCGCCGCTTCTTCTGCAGGCAGTGCTCCAGCAATCCTTGGCAGTCAGCCGAAGTGAACGGTGTAGGTAGCAACATCTGCAAAAGCAAAAAAAGGATAAGAGCAATACAGCTACTTCGAAGTACTTGAGAGTTGAAAGCGTTTTCACCCTGACGATGGGCCAGGCACGAACATTTGGTGGAATAAAAATTGATTCGCAGTAAAGAGACTATTGTTGGAGTTTGGGGAGTGAAGTTGTACACATGTGTGAAGGGCTGCGTTGGAGTTTACGGACAAGAAGAAAATTTGCTTTAAACTTTCCCAAGCATTACAGGAGCAAATGAATAACGAAAATATCGTAAATATCGATCGAAACAATAGCTTGCTGCAGAAAATATTGAGTAAAAACTGTGCAAGTGATGACGCTGCAGGACGAGGAATTACAATATCAATGGTGCAGTACTTGGTGGAAATGACGGAAAAGAAGCACAGCATCAGGAGACACGGCACGATTATGTTCTAGTGTCAGGCCATATAAATGGCAAGAGTGTCATGATATAAGGTGCCTCATACAAGCAAACAAGCTACAGTGCTCCCAGCAACAAGGAGTGAATGAATAAAACATCAAAAAGTACAGCACGTCAAGGCCATACCAAAGAACTGCATGTGTGCTGGCTGTTCGATGATGGTAAGCCATGCAAAGAGGTTTCTCTAATTTCCAACCCATTGTGCACACCCATGTGTGGGTCCGTGTGTGTGTGTGTGTGTGTGTGTGTGTGCACGTGTGCGTGTGTGTGTGTGTATGTATGATTGCTTCATGCATGCATGGACACAAAATAATACTTACGGCAACGTCCACCCAGCTGTGAGTGCTGATGGCCTCCTCGATTGCAGCATCCACTTGATTGACCAATGACGGGGCAACAGCAACAGTTGATAGCATCAGTGGTTTTTCTGTCCCTGATCTGAGATTGCGCTGCAGAAACTTTGATGCGTCAGGAATCTCCATGCGTGTCAGCGTCTCAAACTCTGAAAATGAGGAGAAAACCCATTATCCGTCACTCACTTAGACATAGACTGAAGATAAAGAAGAAAGTCCTGGCTGGGCACTGGAGGCCACTACAACAGCATCTCTACAGATATGAACATCAGACAACATCCACTTATCACAAAGTCTCTATTCCTCAGGAGTCTGAATTAGCACGACAATAACGTCATGATGTTGG